AGGCTCCAAGTGGAGGGCAAGTGATGCTGGTGGCCTGCTTGGTCTTTCCAGCACAGACACGAGTCTCTCATACTCTGTTTTCAAAGAGTAGAGAACACATCTGCAGAATTCTATTTGCATAGTTCTTGGGCTCAGAGCTATTCTAAACTAGCTAATTAATACTTTTGACATAAAGACAAATCTTATTTTTCTCTAATTTCCTCTAAACCACACACTGACCAAGAACCTTTTTAAAGTTTTCTCTAAACTATTTTTAACTATTTCCTCAAACATCAAAAAATACCTTACTATGACAAGGTTACAGACTGAATATCAAGTACAAAGCTGGAGAAGGAGGCCAACACCATATTCAATATGCTAACTCAACCTGAGGCCCTGTGGGGGAGAACCTTAGTGAGCACTGGCTGTGAGCCACAACTGTGCCCAAACAGTAAGCAAATACATAATAATGTCCTGCCCTCAGGCTTTATAAATCCCATGAATTTCACAAAGCAAGACCCAGAGCTAGTATGGCAAATTAATAAAGTAAGACCTGTTCCTCTCCAATTCTCTCCTGAAAGCCATCTCCATCATCCTCTGTTCAGCAGCTTTTCCTGCCTGAGATTCTACATAATTTTCTAGAAGCATGTTGTACTATGAGCACAAACACAGAATCTCTAATCTCTGATATCCAAAAGGGATTTAAATCTATTCCTCTTCTGCATAAAAGTCAATTAGATATCGCTCCCTAGGACCAAATCAGAGTCCATCCGCATGGACCACACCTACCACAAGAAAAGGTATACCACACTATAAAATAATAAATCTTCAGACTTTGATCAATATTACGATTCCAGCAACTTCTTTAGGATACCATCTCAAGCAACTAAGGTCACGGGAATGTGAAGGCAAGACACCTGGGTGGACAGACAGAAATGCACAGCTGGAGCACAAGGGCAAGAACACGAAGCCCAGAACCATTTAGCGTTTTGATGATAACAGTAAGTAACCTGCTTTACTGTGCTACGTCTCATCAAATGAAGGAAGGGAATTAACTCATCATTTTAGTGGCTACTATAAAGACATTTTATTATCACTTCACAAAAACCCTTAAACTTGAAGAATCATAATACATCTTCATAAGCTTACATGTAAAATTAACTAAGACCACAAAAGTGTCTACTTACTCGTATCAAAGGACAGACTTACCTTAGAGCACAGAGACACATACTGGGCTAATATTTATCTTCTTGGCCACTTCGCTGTATAATGACTCCATGTTTATGGACAGGACAACCACTATGCGCTTATCCCTATTAGCTGTTTAAACCCTAGCTAAGCTTTCACATAGAGACAGGCCTGCTCTCTTCAACTAACCAGTGCTAAACAAGCAGGAAGGGCAAGTCACCAGATTTTAGCACCACGCCGAGCACCAACTGTCCCCGCACCAAATCCAATAAAGGTGAAAGGCTTCAAGAAAAATACATGATGCTTTTTCTCAAATTTGAATTATTCTTGCCAGGCCTCCCTTAGTATGTAGGGGAAAATTAAAGAATTAAGACTAAAAAAAATGATGAGACTAAAGAGAAATAATCCCAAAGAACCAACCAGGTCCTTAAACCAGGAAGGGTCCAGAACTTGGAGTCAGAAGACACACTGCAGTGTTAACACCAGAACTCACTTCCCCATCTTACTGAAGCTGAGTCCCTAAATCCTACAGGGTCTTCAGTGTCATCCTCGGTGTGGTGGCTGGCGTCACCCATCGGCCTAAATCACTAGATGCTCAGTATTTGAACACACCCTAGAGAGTGAGGGGAGATAGTTATACAGATGTGAAAGAAGACATCCATGTGTGTATCCATGAGTTTGGTGCATGGATACTTCACACCCTATGGCACAGCTCTAGATGGCCCCGGGATTTTTGCAAAAATAAAACACAAACTTGAAACATTTTACAAGTCACCAGTTCTTACTGCTGCTCTTACAGCTCCTAAATGTTTATTTTTGCCACATGTGTGACCACTGTGATCTTGTGATACCAGGAAGGTACAACCACTCAGGTTTTTCTCCCCATATATTTCCTCAGTTACAGTGGCTGAATGACCTGAATGACTATGTTCAACAGTCTACGAACTCCCTGCAAGGGATTTAAGTTCTCACAGAGCATGTGTGCGCATGCACGCGCGCGCGCGCGCGCGCGCACACACACACACACACACACCCTAGTAGGAAGAAACAATGTGGCTATTTCTCAGGAAACCCCAATGAACAAACAGACCACTGTTATCTCAAGCAGTCTTCTCTCCTAGGATTCTACAGGCCCATACACCCAACAGTCTGAGAGATCCCTTCACTTAGCTGCCCCATAGACACGTTAGGCTCAGCATGGCCAAACCAAACTCATCTTCCCTCTCCAGATCATCCCTTCCTGAAAGGGTTTCTGTTCTCAATAAACAGCCCTATCACCTTTCCAATTGCTTAAGACAGTAATGCTGGAGTCATCCTTCATCCTTTTCTGCTTCTAATCCTCTACTCACATGTTAGTCTCAAGGACTGCTTATTCTACATCCTAAATAGCTCTCACAACTATTCATGCCATTTTGGCTGCGACCACCCCAGCACAAGCCACCTAGTGTCTTACCTGAACTGTCATAATTGCTTCCTAACCAATCTGCTTGGATCCACTGTAGCCTCCTACCACCAGTTCCCCATAAGGTAGCCAGAGCATTTGTACCTTGCTTAAAACTCCAGTTTTCAGACTCCTACATAACAGAGGCTGCAAAGGACTCCTCATAACCTGATTCCTGCCGACTTCTCTAGCTTGCTCTCCTCCTTCTGCATTCGGGGACCTAGCCATGTGTTTCACACTAACTGTAATGCGGTATCTATTCTCCTCTTTCTCAGTAATCACATCCTGATTTTTCAGCTAAATACATAGCCGTGGAATAAAAATCTTTCCTAGCCCCCCATGCAGCTAAGTGTCACCATGTCCCTGGGCTTGAGCCAATGGGAGGTGAGCCTGGCCCTTTCCTTCCCTTTGCCCTTTCCTACTGTTGTAATGCACAAAGTGAAAGCTGAAGAAATCATCTGGGTCACTAGGTAGAAGGTGCCTGTGGAGGATGACAGCACAAGATGGATGGAGCCAGGTCCCCAATGACTGAAACTGCCATGTCAACCTAGATCACCCACCTGGAGTTTTCCCTAAGAAGCTTGTTTACTATTTAAACCACTGATGCACTGGCCTCTCTGTCCCTTGAAGCAGTTTTGCCTAACCCTAACACAACACACTGTTCTTACAGATTCTCCACTCTCTGAACTCCGACTTGTGCATGTGACTCCTTCTCCCCGAAACACTGCTAACTCTTCTGCTCCTTACGTGTTATCCCTCTTTGAGCTGAAATGTCACTTTCCAGGTAAGTTTTCCTTGACTTCCTAGGTGAGGTTAGATATTGCCATATTTTTCCTTACACTTTCCTTAGGGTAATACATCTATAACCGCTGAGTTCACTTGAGTCTCCTTCAGGGCTACACACTCTTTAAGAGCAAGTATCTACTTTGTCTACTGTCATCCAAGTGCCTGGCACTCAGTATATGTCCAACAAATATTTGCTCAATGAACAATATCACAGCCCTTGAGTGATTTCTGGGCCACACCTTAAGGACTTCTTGGCCTTACATTATAGGACTCCATCAACTCTGCCTGTAGCTCTTTTCCTGTCAGACACTCTCAAGTTAAATACTGTTTCTCTCCATTCCCTTCTGGACAATGCTGAAATGTCCCAACTCCTTCAATGGATCGACACAGCTCTTTCTGGAACTACTTCATTTTCTCTTAATACACCTAGACCTAAAGACTAAAGTATTATGTGGACTCTTGGAATTAAGAAAAAATATATATGGAGAGCCTTCACTGTGTAGTACAACCACATTTTCAAGAACTGGGATGTCTTACAGGTATTTTTTAAGGAAAATGTAAGAAACGTACAAACCATATTATCTGAATTCTGACCACATACAGGGAAACATTCTTAAGAAATTTTAAAAGCCTTCTCTGGTTGTGAAGTGGACATCACTTTTTAATGGCATTACAAGCATCTGTCAGTTTACTGCTTTATATACTCATCCTTCACTGACACTGAGGATTCTACATGGCTTGCTCATTTTCAAAAACAAAGTATCTTTTTTGTTATAACTCTGTGGAGTTAAAGAAATAGGGTCCCAAAAAGCAGGCAGTGGGACATTAAGACAAATAAATAAAAAAGATCTGAGTACTAGGTCTTAGGTTGCCAACGAGCCATCGGGAACCCTGGATCAGGTCTCTATTTAACTGTAAAGTGAAACGTACAATTCCTAACAACCCTTCTGAGGAAAAAAAAAAAAAAAAAAAAAAATATATATATATATATATATATATATATATATATATATATATATATATGTTGTTGAGGTATCAACTTGCTGTTCATGATTCAATAAAGATGATGTTGGGGACTATGCCAAACACTGTATAACTGCAAGTACTGGCAGGAAACCTGACATATGCCTATCAGTCCCAGGTTACACGCAGATTTCCACGAGTCTAAAACATGGGCCTTCAACTATCTAAAAACAAATGTGTATTTGGAAAAGATAATCTTTGTGTGATGAGAATGGCTGCTAGAATGGAAGCTCTTCCGGGACGTGCCATCTCCCGCCACATCTGTCAGGCGCCCACACTGGATCCAGAGGGCATCCATAAAATCCCTCCAGTCGGTGAAACAGGATGGCTTTCGCTGCCACCCCCCACCCCCGCCCCGATCCCTAGGCCCGCGGGTCGCAGCCGACCTGGCGTCAGGCAGCAGCACAGACGCCGGTACTCCAGCAGGATGCGAGCACAGCAGAGCCTGCCAAGGTCCTCCAACCAAGGGCGGCCGAGGCCGGGCTTTCCATACGGTCCCAGGAGCGCACTGCGCTGCCCTCCCCCTCCCGGACCTGCGAGCCGGTCTGCAGCCCCCGCCCCGCCCCCGCCAGCCCGGCCTGACCTCCTCGAACTGCTCGCCCGAGCAGCCGGCGCCGCGAGCCTCCAGCAGCTCGCGGAACTGCTCCAGGGTGACGGCCTCTTCGCCGCGGCCCAGCCGCTCCTCCAGCCAGCGCAACAGCGCGCCGTGGTGCCGGGACACCAGAGACTCGCAAGGCGGCGCGGGCCGCAGCGCCGCCGCCGCCTCTCGCAGTCGGGCCGGCTCCAGCAGGGCGGCGGCGGGGGGCAGCGCTGGGGCAGCGGGGCCCGAGCCGGGGACGGCGCTCGCGTCCGCAGCCCAGTCCTGGTGCGGGCCCCAGCCCTCTCCCCCGGCGGCACCCGCTTCGTCTTCACTGCTGTGACTCGGAGCGTTCCCCATGGGGTCTTCGTGTCGGGCGTCCGGCTGTGCCGCCGCCGCCTCCCCGCCTCGACCTGTCAACCTCCGGCGGCGCCCGGCGGGCGGGACGGGGAGGGTACGACGGCGGCGGCGGCTTCCGGCTTCCTCGCCGTCAAGCGAGAACTGCCGTCGCAAAGACGCCGTCAAGCGGACCCAAGCGAAAGCTGTGAGACAGCAAGCGGAGGACGGCTTCCGTAGAGAATGGAACCCCGATTTCCCAGAAGGTCCCGCCGTCTACGTCATCCCGCAGCCTCCTTTGCCGCCATCTTTGTGGGGGGCGGGCGCCGGCGCGGCGGAGCCTTCGCCGCTGACACTGGCAGTATCGCTCCACGTTCGCCAGCTACGCTGAAAAACGGCGAAGCCAGGGAGGGGTCTCTCGCAAGCCTTTTTCCCTTTAGTCCCCCGCTGTCCCCGTGGTGACGCGGGCGGGGTCGAGAGGGCGTCGCGCCGGTGACGTCACGCGTGCGCCACCGCCATCTTGGCCGTGGGTGGCGGGGCGGCCGCCTGTGGGCTGAATGCGGCGGCTCGGCGGCCGCGGGCTCCTGCTGGGCCTGGCGGCGGCGGCGGCGGCGGCGGCGGCGGCACGGTGGCTGGGCTGGTGGAGCGACCGCGCTGGTCTTCGCCTGTTCGTGCCCGAGGAGCTGGCCCGCTACCGCGGCGGCCCCGGGGCCCCGGGTCTCTACTTGGCGTTGCTTGGCCGCGTGTACGATGTGTCCCCCGGCAGGAGGCACTACGAGCCCGGGGCCCACTATAGCGGCTTCGCAGGTACTGGCGAGGCGTCCGTCCGTCCGTCCGTCCGCGCGCGCTCTTTCACTCACTCACGCCCCCGCTCGTCCGTGCGTCCCTCGGCCCTTCTCCCGCGGGTCCCGGCTGGTGGGCGGCCGTCCCCCGCGACGTGGGCCCGAGAAGCAGGCGCGGTCACCTGCCAGGTGTGTCCTTTCCACGCCCCCCGGCGGAGCACGTGTGGCGGGGTCCCTGGTCCGCGGCGGCCGACGAGCTGAGCGCGCGGCCGCCATCCTACAGCTGGGGGGATGGGCCGACAGGCTTCGGGCCAGGACCCTCCCCCTCCGAGATGGGCTCACCAGCCCCAGGGGAAAGAGGAAGGAGCCGACGGTGAGAGGAAAGAGGCGTTTTCTATTTGCCACGGCCGTAGCATTGGGAAGCTGCCCCGGTACCTCAACACGAGTCGCCTCCCCTCTTTGTCTTTAGGGCAGGCTGCAGAAACGGGAGGATTGACGGGGGGAGTGGGGCGGGAGTTGCCGAGCTCCTCAGTCAGCCCAGCAAGGGAAGGAACCTGCCCGGAGCACTTGGCGATGCAGAAGCCGAGCTGGGACCGCAGTCAGGGTTCCTTCACCTGCCAGGCGAGAGCAGCCTGGGTGCCCAGCCCGCCGCTCCCTGCTGTGGCTGCCGCGGCAGGATACACACGCTCCGACGTAAAGCCTCCATCTCTGGGTCGTTGTTGTTGGGCTCTGGCTTCAGCTGAGTTCCTCTGTGCCTGCTGTTGATTGAGCGTCCAGTCACTGACCACTGCTCTGCAGCGGCCTTGAGCCAGGGGCTGCTCACCCCCACGCACACAGCCTAGCAGGGGAAGCAGAGACGAGCACTCATTCAATACCAGTAGTATTGTCAATTAAGGTATAATCACATGATATAAAATCCTGACCTTTTTAAAGCATACAGTTCAGTAGTTTTTAACATTCAGAAAGCCCGCAAGCATCACCACCGGCTAACTCCAGGCATTTTTATCACCCCCCAAAAGAAACCCCACATGTTAGGAGTCCTGTCACTCCCCAGTCCCTCCATCTCCAGCCACTGGCAGCCACTGTTCACTTTCCCCTGAGGATTTGCCTATTTGGACTTTTCCTGGAAGCGGAATCATGCATGTGGCCTTTTGTGCCTGGTTTCTTTTACTTAGCACAGTGTTTTCAAAGTTCATCCAGGCTCTATCCTCACGTATCAGTACCGTGTTCCTCTTTGTGGAGTAGTAGTATTCCGTTGAGTGTGTATACTAGATTTTGTGTATTTAATCATTATTTGTCGGATGTCTGTGTCTCCGTAATTTGCCTGTTCCGAAAACACTATGAACACACACATGCATGTTTTTGTTTGGACATATGTTTTCTGTTCCCTAGGGTGAATGTCTGAGCATGAGATTGCTGAGTCATGTAGTTACTCTTGTGTTTTGCTTTTTGAGAAGCTGCCGGATTATTTTCTAAAGTGGCTGCACCCCTGGGGATGCCTGGGTGGCTCGGTGGTTGAGTGTCTGCCTTTGGCTCACTGTGTGACCCCCAGGTCCCAGGATCAAGTCCCACAATGGGCTCCCTGCAGGGAGCCTGCCTCTCTCTCTGCCTGTGTCTCTGCCTCTGTCTGTCTCTCATGAATAAATAAATACAGTCTTTAAACAAATAAAGTGGCTGTACTCCACCATCAACGAAGAGTTCCAGTTTCTCCACATTCTTGCCAGACTGGTCGTCTTTTTCATCATAGTCATTTTAGTGGGTTTGATTTTTTGCATTTCCCTAATAACTACTGATGTTGAGCATCTTCTCGTGCTCGTTGACCATTTGTATATCTTCTGTGAAGAAATGCCTGCTCAAATCCTTTGTCCCTTTTTTTAATTGAGTTGTCTTTTTATTATTGAGTTGTGAGAGTTCTCTGTATACTCTGGATACTAGACCCTCATCAGGTCCATAATTTGCAAATTTTCCCTCCATGCCATAGCTTGTCTTCATTTTCTTGATAGTGTGCTTTAATGCACAAAATTTTTAAAATTTGATCAAGTCCAGTTTATTTTTTCATTTTAGCTTGTGCTTTGGGTGTCCTAAGAAACCATCACTAATCCAAGGGCATAAACGTTTACACCTATGTTTCCTTTTAAGACTTACACAGTTTGAGTTCATGCACTCATGTCCTTGATCTTTTTTGAGTTAATTTTTTTTTTAAATAAACTTCTTTATTTTTTTTTAATTTTTTTATTTATTTATGATAGTCAGAGAGAGAGACAGAGGCAGAGACACAGGCAGAGGGAGAAGCAGGCTCCATGCACCGGGAGCCTGACGTGGGATTCGATCCCGGGTCTCCAGGATCGCGCCCTGGGCCAAAGGCAGGCGCTAAACCGCTGCGCCACCCAGGGATCCCTTTGAGTTAATTTTATGTGAGGTAGGGGTCCATTTTCATTGCTTTGCGTGTTGCTATCCACTTGTCCAAGCACCATTTGTTGAAAAGACTATTCTTTCCCCCTTTGAATTATTGAAACATGACTCACAGAAAATTGACTGTAAATCCATGGGGTTCGTTCAGCCAATACTGGTCATCACTAAAAGATTAGGCATGACCAGATACTGGGGAACCAATACTGGGTTTGGTGTGTTCTCTGCCCCGATAAAACTTGCAAACTAGTAAAAAAAATAGACGTGAAGTAGGTCTTATGTCAACAATTAGTGAACTATTTTTGTGATGACTGTTAAAAGAAAGGCATACTTGTGTTACCAGAGGTCCTAAGCTCGTTGGGGAGGAGAGCGAAGGAGCAGAGGGACAAGGCGAAGTTGGTGGCCACTCTGTAGGGCCCTGAGAAGCATGTTAAGGAAATGTGGACAGTATTCTAGCACAAAGGGAAGGCACTGAAGATTTTTAAGCAAGAGAATGACATCAATTCATGTTTAAAATACCAGTCTATGTTTTATGGAAAGAATTTAGGTAGAGCTGCTGGGTTTTTACTGTAGTGGTTAGGATGAGAGACAATGGCAGCCTGGGCCTGCTTTGTGGCAGATGGAGAAAGGCAGACAGATGGGACGACGGAGGAGGAAATGGGAGGACTTGGTTGAGCAGCTGGTTGCTACTTGGTGAACTAGGAAGTACTAGGATAGATGCAGGTGTCCTAGGGCCGGGGTGCTGATTTGTGTCCTGTGGACCTTTCGACCTTGTGATATTTGTAAAACATCTAAGTGATGTTGAGTCGACAACTGGCTATACGGGTCTGGAGTTTGGGTTGAGGGTGCAGATAGAGCAGAGGGGGTGGGCACGAATAGTGCCTGAGGGCCGGTGGAAAATAAACTGGCAACGGAGGGGGGAATGCCAGGAACATGGTGTCAGGGAGCTACAGGGCACAGAATGCCACATCCTGTGTCCCAGGTCCAGGAGCATGTGTCAGGAGATGGGGGAAGGGGTTTCCAGATCTTTGTCAGACCACAGGTTCTTGAGTCAGTGCAGTGCCGGAGGGGCACAAGTTAATCTCCTTGGACCTCTGTCTCCTGCAGGCCGAGATGCGTCCCGGGCATTTGTGACTGGGGACTACTCTGAAGCAGGCCTGGTGGACGATGTGTCTGACTTGTCATTTTCGGAGGTGCTGACACTTCAGAATTGGCTTTCATTCTATGAGAAGAATTATGAATTGGTTGGTAGGTATTCCACAGGTCTCTTCCATAGATTCCATTTGGTTGTCTTGCAGGTTTTTTAAAGGGTTAGAGTTCTTTGGGGATTGGACTCAGTGTTAAAAATCTGTAAAGTACCCATGGAGTGTTTCCGTCACGCTCGGGCTAGGCCTTGTCTCCCTCACGCTTCATCTTGGGAGAAGATTGCCCAGGTGTTGGGCTTCCACACCCAATCAGGTGGGCTTGAGGCTGAGGTGTGTGTGTGGGGGGGGGGGTGGCCTGTAAGGAGACAAACAGTAGCTGGCATCCATCCTGAGGGAGCCATCTCCCAGGGGGAAGTCCGCGAATCAGACATGCGGGAAAGTGGGTTGTGCAGGGCACGGCACTTGGTACTTCCTGGTGACACAGGAGGGAATCACCTTTTACACAGAAAGACGCTAATGGTGTCCTAAGGAAATGTTAGACTCTAAAGGCTGAAGTGCTCTGTAAACACAGAATCGGGGTGGTTGGGGCCTGTGCTGTCTCCTGGACATGGCTGGCTTCCTGGGGAACACTGGTGCCCCTCACCCCCAGAACAGGTCTCACTTGGAAGCGTTCTCTCTCTGCCCCTAATGCCCCTGGCTGTCGGCTCCATCTTGACCACTTGGGTTGCCTTCTCTGGGAACCTTGGCATGTGTATGAACCCCTCTGCTCCCCCCACATCCAGTTGACCAGGGCTTTTTTCATAACATCTGAAGCTCTCTCTGTGTCCAGCGCCCAATGCACAC